CCCGATACACTTCGGGACCATTTCGGTGTTCGAATATAACCTTCCAATATATCAACCTTTATGTCTCGACCATTTCGAGACTCCTCGTCATGTCCGTGATCTCATCCGGGACTCCGAATAACCTTCGGTACATCAAATCACATAACTCATAATACATATTGTCATCGAACGTTAAACATGTGGACCCTACGGGTTCGAGAACTATGTAGACATGACCGAAACACATCTCAGGTCAATAACCAATAGCAGAACCTGGATGCTCATATTGGTTCCTACATATTCTACGAAGATCTTTATCGGTCAAACCGCACAACAACATACGTTGTTCCCTTTATCATCGGTATGTTACTTGCCCGAGATTCGATCGTCGGTATCATCATACCTAGTTCAATCTCGTTACCGGAAAGTCTCTTTACTCGTTCTGTAATGCATCATCCCGTGACTAACTCATTAGTCACATTGCTTGCAAGACTCATAGTGATGTGTATTACCGAGAGAGCCCAGAGATACCTCTACGATACATGAAGTGACAAATCCTAATCTCGATCTATGCCAACTCAACAAACACCATCGGAGACACCTGTAGAGCATCTTTATAATCACCCAGTTATGTTATGATGTTTGATAGCACACAAGGTGTTCCTCCGGTATTCGGGAGTTGCATAATCTCATAGTCATAGGAACATGTATAAGTCATGAAGAAAGCAATAGCAATAAACTAAACGATCATAGTGCTAGGCTAACGGATGGGTCTAGTCCATCACATCATTCTCTAATGATGTGACCCCGTTCATCAAATGACAACACATGTCTATGGCTAGGAAACTTAACCATCTTTGATTAACAAGCTAGTCAAGTAGAGGCATACTAGGGACACTCTGTTTGTCTATGTATTCACACATGTACTAAGTTTCCGGTTAATACAATTCTAGCATGAATAATAAACATTTATCATGATATAAGGAAATATAAATAACAACTTTATTATTGCCTCTAGGGCATATTTCCTTCAATATCATCACATGGAAGGTGGTTCGGGTGTCGGTGCACATTGTGGCAGAAGTCACAACCCTAGACCTATTAAATCCCTAAGACAACAGCACACCTCAGTCATAGCCAAGAATATAGCTACAACGATCAATAAATGAAGAAACCATGTAATAGCAATTGTCTGTCAATATGACACTTTCATGCCCAACTTGCTAACATTCTTATCACTAAGACATGGCTACCCTAGTGAGTCAATCACAACTCTTATCACTTGAAATAAAGCCCATGAACCACACCAATTTATTGTACGATTCAGGATTTGAAAGCTAATCAATGTTCACACTAATTTAGAAAAATACAAAAGGATTAATGGACACCTTAGGCGTACATATATTCAAAGCACACACCCAAGTTTGAAAGCTAATCAACATTCACATTGATTTAGAGAATACAAAAGGGTGAATTGACACCCTAGGATGTACATATTCAAAACACACATCCAATCGGATGCTTCCAAAAATCATGAGAAAATAAATCATATTCATGAACTCTTTACTTTGTTAATCCCCTTCCCTGTTTGCATGGTGCACCCCTACATGAGAAGAAGTTAAGCAGCTTTGTAAACATGCTCCAAAAAATAGTGCTAACAGTTTTAGATTCTAACATAACACACAGGGATGGAGCATAGATTATGGCAGTACATAATATGGTAACTACAGATCACAACAACTGTTTTATACACATACCATTTAATTGGGAGGACAGCTATGGATCCCGCCCAACAGGAGAAGAAATTTTCTCGCCAAAATGTATCTAGCGTGGGAAACTAAATATTGTGCTACCTTGAAAACAAAGCTAATTTCGTGAAATCAGGAATGAACCCTGAGCAGCGACAAAGAAAAGAAGCTAACTTGCACCATAATTTGCATCCAAATGAAGGGGGGGGGGGAGGAGGATGCTGGGAGGTCCCTCATAGGGTCATACGAGGAAGAAGCCCCCCACCATGACGTGCTCCATGGCGGCTGGGTCGGAGCTCCATGCCCCCTCACTCGCCAGCCGAAATGGACCTGTGAGGGGTCCGACCACCATGTTCGTAAAGTCCATGATGTGAATCCTCCTGTGAGGTGGGATCTGCCTTCCTTACTCCTGTCGTAGAACAGAGTTGCATGACCACGATACGATGGTAGTAGTGCTCTCGACATGGTGGATCTAGCCTCCGCCTCACCCGTTTCGAGAAGGGTGAGAGAGCAGCGGTGGGTGCAAGCGCCGATGGGAGAGAGGGTGGGGGCGGTGCCGGGGTTGGGTGAGAGGAGATTGGCGGTGCAGGCTGGGGGCGACGGCTGGTTTGGGATGGGAGAGAGAAGGAATCATGAGGAGAGGAAGGCTGGCGGCGGCGGCTGGTTTAGGGTTTGGGAGAGAGGGAGAAGAGGCAGCTAGGTTTTCCATTGCGAACGTTCGGGCCTTTTATATACCTCCTGGTGAAATGCTGAAAATGCCCCGACAGGGGCTCGGATATCAGGGCACACCATTTCCAATCGATAGCTCATAACACACGGGTAAAAATCCGACGACAGAGGTGCATCGAGCCTACGAGGATCATGTTGTAAACCGGATCTGACGGCTCAGGAGGTGCGGTGATTTTTAGGGTTTGCTTTTACCCGCCTCTTAACTTTTGGGATTGCGAGAGAACTCGGGGGCCCGCACCACCTACCACCATCGCTTGTTCCCTCCCCACAAAGCACAATTACAAACAAAGCGAGGGGGGCATCTGAAAGAGGCCACACCTCGGAGATGGCGCCGGGGGGGTCTCCTGGTTAAAACCCTGCCCTCCTCCACCGCACCGCGACACCTGCCGTTCCTCCTCCCCACCCCACCCCCATTCCCCACTCTCTCCCCTCCC